TCTGAGAGTTGCTGACTCTTCGGTGACTCCATGACCAGGATGTCATCATAGTCCTGTCTATTGCGTGCTAGGAGCACTTTTCAGCAATGGGGAAAAGGTACGAAGTGGCCGCTTATTTGAGCTAAACCAAACCCTGTATTTAAGCAAACAGCTGGTCTTTACCAGTCAGTGCCTTTTCCTCTAAGCAGCCTCTGCACGCGCAATCTTGGTAGCTTAGCCCCAGAAGAATTCAGCTCGGTTAGAAGTTCCCTGGAAGGCCAGTGACCCTCACTTCCCCCTCCATGCCCAGGCTGGGATCCCTGCTTCTGTCCTGTAAGACTTGAACCTGCTTTCTTTCTGAGCCCAAATCAACACCTCCTTCTCCAGGAACTTCCGTCCTGCCTGCTAACAATGGGCTGTGATACAACCTTGACCGAGAACTTACTCCTCATGCTTGTCATTTTTTTTGTTCTGGGTCTTATTTCTTGTCATTTTCTTCAATCGTTGGACTTAGGCCTTAGTCCATCAAACTTCACAACTTCCCCCTCACCCCACCCAGGTTCAACTCAGGGATCATTTACATGACAGTGCCAGTCAAGGATCACTATACACTTAGGGACAGAGGGCACCTGGGGTGGGGAAAATGTTTCCATTTTACAGAGAAAGATCCCTTTCTCCCCACTGCCTCCATCCTCCAGCCTCTCTCCTTCTGAAACCCTGTTGTTGGTGAATCTTCCTATAAATTCCTTTTTTTTTTACATGTTCTTAAAAAATATTTTCAATTACAGTTAATATTCAATATTATTTCATGTTAATTTCAGGTGTACAGCACAGTGGTTAGACAATCGTATACTTTACAAAGTGCTTCCCCTGATGTTTCCAGCACCCGCCTGGCACCATACAGAGTTATTACAGTGTTGTTCACTATATTCCCTGTGCTGTACTTTACGTCCCCAGGACTATTTTGTGGGGGTTTTTTGGTTTGTTTTTTAAATTTTTTTTTCTTTATTGATTCTAGAGAAAGAGGAAAGAAAAGGAAGAGAGAAATAGAAACATTGGTGAGAAAGAACATCGATTGGCCACCTCCCGCATGCCCCCCACTGGGGATCGGGCCCACAACCTGGGCATGTGCCCTGACCGGGAATCGAACCAGCGACCTCTTGGTGCAGGGGTCGATGCTCAACCACTGAGCCACACCGGCTGGGCCCCATGACTATTTTGTAACTACCAATGTGTACTTCTCAATCCCTTCACCTATTTCGCCCAGTCTCCCATCCCCTCTCCCCTCTGGCAAACATCAGTCTGTTCTCTGTATCTGTTTCTGTTTTGTTCGTTCATTTATATTGTTCTTTAGATTTCACACACAAGTGAAATCATATGGTGTTTGTCTTTCTCTGACTGACTTTTTTCACTTAGCATGGTACCCTCTGGGTCCCTCCATAGTGTCACAAACGGTGAGGTTCTTGATGTGCTGGGACGAGAGACCCTGCTCATGGCTGATGTTCAAAGAGCCCACGGCAGTAACAAGTGTTGGAGGGATGTGGAGAAATAGGAACTCTCATGCGTATTCCCATCATATGCTGGTGGGGATGTGAGACAGTGTTGCGATACAATTACACAGATGGTATTTAAGAATAATAATACTTGTTGAAAATAGATAAAAATTTTGAGAACAGAATTCAGAGATACAGAGAACAAGCCGGTGGTTGCCAGAGGTGGGCACAGGGATGGGCAAAATGAGTGAAGTTGGTCAAAGCTATAAACTTCCACCTACGAAAAAAATAAGATCTTGCCAGTCTTAGTGTTTCCTGAATGTGTCCCAGCAACTGCAAACCTAATAAGAAACTACATAGTTTTTAAAGTGTGAAACATTTGGAATAGTCTGCACGCAATGCCTGCTTCTTGGAAAGGCACCATGAACATGAGCACAGAGGCTCTGAGAAGTCCCGCAGTAAAAGAATTTGTTTAACTCTGTATAACTTAGTGGTTTGACCTTAGGACTATCCCCAACTCTTTTCTCCATTAAACAGTTGTTCTGTTTCCAAAAAACAAAGGAACAAAGGCAAAAAGATCTAGGATTTCATGTACAGCATGATGAGTATAATGAATAACACTATATGGTATATTTGAAAGTTGCTAAGAGAGTACATCTTAAAAGTTCTCATCACAAGAAAAAAAAGTGTAACTATGTGGAGCTGAATGTTAACTAAATTTATTGTGATACTTGAGGAAGCAATTTACAGCCAGATACAGAAGGTCAGCAGGGTAGAGAGTCTGGGGTACGTAGCAAGAGGCAAAGCTGGTGTAGGACTGCACCCTCATGCGGACTTTCCTCCCCTGGGATATTGCTGGCCATGTGGGTTAGACCCCCTGAACCCTCATACCGCTGATCATGGTTTGGACCCTCCCTTGACTAAGATAACATTTGGGCCTCGGCTGCATTTCAGCTCCAGGCCGGGCAAGCAGCGGCCAGTCCAGGACCAGCTGTGACGACTAATGACCCCCTGGTGCTGACCAATCAGAGGCTACCATGACCCTGAAAGGACACACCTGGAAACGCTGTTGAAGCTTCTACTGAGACGTCCCCTGAGAACTCCCCTGAAATCCCTGCCTTTGGAAAGCAGATAGAACCTCTCAAGACAAACGCCAGCCCTGGGCCTTCCTTGGGGCACACCCTCTCCAATCTCCTTTTCAAGTAAATGTTCTTTCTCTTAAACTCTGAGGGACCCCATGAGACTTGCAACCAGGGGAGCAGTGGGCGGCAGCGGCTCGTCCTGGGCTAAGCCCCTGAGCCTGTCCCCAAGGCCCGCTTTTCTCTGGCTCCCCAGGGGCTCACAGCAGCCCGCCGGGGCTCAGCTCTGTCCTGTAACATCTCAGTGAACCAGAGCAGAGCACCGCCGGGCTCTCTCCTGCTGCTGCTTCTACACGAAGCCCCTCTGTCTCACTGTCCCCGGCTTTAATAAGAGTCCTGCCCTGGCCGGTTTGGCTCAGCGGCGGGAGCGGCGGCCTGCGGACCAGAGAGTCCTGGGTTCGGTTCCCGCTAGGGGCACGTACCAAAAAAAAAAAAGAGCCCTCTTAAAATCACCAGACTCACCTGGCCAGCGTGGCTCAGCAGTTACAGTGTCAGCCCATGTACCAACGAATCTTGAGTTCGATTCTGCTCAAGGGCACCTACCTGGGTTGTGGTCTGATCCCCACCCTGGTGGGGTCGTGCGGGAGGCAACCAATCGATGTGTCTTTCTCACATCGATGTTTCTCTCTCTCTCTCTCTCCCTCCGACTCTATCTGAAAATCAATGGAAAAATATCCTTGGGTAAGAATTAAAAAAAAAAAAAAAACAGAATCACCAGGCTTACGTTGTGAAATCTTTCCTGCATGAAATCAAGAACCCACACACTACCGGCCATCCTTGCACCAGGTCCGGTCCCTTTCCGGCGACAGTCATCATTTTCTCATATATACATATATCACATTTTGATGTTGTTTACTTAAACCTAATGCAATGTTATATGTCAGTTATATATCACATGTTAAAAAGAGAATAAACAAAGAAATGTATATACAAAAGCACGTTATTCACAATGTCCAAAATGTGGAGACAACAAAAATGCCCGTTGCTTCACGAGCAAATGTAAGAAGTTGTGTCATAGCGCACGAAGGAATGCTATTTAGCCATGAGAACAGAAGCGTCGGTACGTGCTGCAACGTGGCTGCACCGGGAACGCTGTGCCACATGAAAGCAGCCAGATCCCAAAGGCCACACACTGGGCAGTGCCTTTATTTCAAATGTCCCGAACAGACAAATCCGTGGATGGGGGAGGAAGAGACACCTGTGCAGGGGTTTCTTTGAGAGCGATAAACTCATTCTGAAATTACATTATGGCGATGGTTGTACAACCTTGTGAATATACTAAAAAACAGGGACTGGTACATTTTTTAACGGCCGACCTTGTGGTTTATGAAATCTATCTCAATTAAAAAGTCAGTGCACAGCACGGACACCCCTGTCTCTGTGGGCTCTGGGCTGGATGCCTGGAACCACCCCCTCTCTGGCGCAGCCGTGGCTCGGGTACAGGTCCTCTGGAAGAAACACTCTTTTCTTCAGCTTGCTTTCCCTCAGGGTCGTTCATTTCCACCAGACCCCAACTGTATGGGGCTGTTTGGGGATGGGAGGCTTCGGCCTGATTGAGTCTCTGAGCTCAGAGGAGGTCACCCCTTTTCAGTCCCACACACTGGTCATGGTCGCCTCTGGATGGACCCCGAAAGCCTGGCCTCCTCTCCTGGCGACTGTGGGGCCCAGGGGAGAGTTTGGGGCTTCGTATTTGACCCATGCCTGCCCCTTTGGATTCTGGGTGAAGGCATGTTCTCTATTGGGAGTGACAAAGAAGAGAGTTCTCTTCACTGCAATACAAGGAAATTTTTCGTTTTAAGCGCTGTCTGCCTAACATAGTGTGGGCAGTGGATACCCCAGCAGCTCCTGAGCCAGGTTATCTGCCTGGGCATCTCACCTGTGCAGTCACCACCCATAGAAGCCAGGCTTCCTTTCAACCACGCCGTGCCTCAGTTCTGCCGTCCGTGGAATGGGTATAACAAAGACCTGCCTCAATGGGGTTTTAAGGGTGTAAGTGGGTGAATACGTATCCCAGCTCATAAACATCAACAGTTTTTAATACTATTCTGCTCTGGAAACACCATGCCCACAGAGAGGAGGAGACTCCAGTGATCACAGGATTAACCATGGCGTTCAGTGAACATCTTTTTCCCAGTCTTTCTTACGGGCAACTGACTCCATTCTCCAGCCCACGGATCTGAAGCTGGCATCCTAAAGGGCAGGGTGGCAGAAAGTGTCATGACCCTGGCTGCTCAAACTATTTATTTGTGTTTCATCGTTACATCAGGAATAGAATTGGCCGTTCATATTGGTGGTTGATGATTCCCATCCTCCACCTATTGTTCAACACCTGCTCAGAAGCCAAGCTTGTTTTCCTGTTGATGAAGAAGGACCACAAAGGGAAGTGGCCCTTCACAACCGCCCCTTCACAACCGCGGTGTGCAAATGCCCGACTTTGGTCCTTGGTGCTCGAAGTGGGCCCGAAAGAATTCACCACCAAGAGGAGAAAGGTTTTGTGGGTTGTTGGTTTTTTCCAAGTGTTAGTTCTGGATGGGTGTAGCTGGGGGACGGTGAGGAAGCTGGAATTTTAACGTCGTTCTCTTTGGCATTAGAAAGGCACTGGTGTGCACGTTCTATGACCCAGGGGTGGCCAAGATGTCAGCAAATGGGAAAAGGCAGAGTAATAGCACAATAGTCATGTCTTTACTCATAGAGATTTCATGCTCATGCTGGTAAGGGTGGGTCCGGTTGAGAAATCAAACATTGAGTTCCTGGACACAGCAACTGTAGGAAGGCAGGGAGGGTGAGGTATATATATTTAGGATCTCGCCATTCACCCCACAGACTCACAGGCTCCCTGCCCGCCTGCTTCCTCCAGGAACACAGGTAAGTGCTGCAACTGCTCCAGCTTAATAACCAAAACCGCTTGGGGGAAATAATAGCACGAATGTGTTTCCTATCGTGCGTGCATTTTTTTCTGTAGGAGGGGATTTTACTTTTCTGCCAGGGTAACATTCAAATACCTCCTGCATGTTGATTTGCCCTTTATCAGATTTATTTCCCGACAAACAAGCACGCTCTTAGGAGTTCTTGTGGAGAGAGGCGACCACGTGGCCTGGGAGGAAAGGCAGAGGGGCCTCGGGAGAGCCCGTGGGGTGGGACCCAGGTTGGCCGTGGCCTTGGCATCTATTACCAGGCCTCTTCCACACAGAGCTGGTGCAGCCCGCTCTACAGCAAAGATAACGATGTTCTCTTGCCTTCTCACAAAACTCTTAAAAGAATAATCGTGCTAGTCTTTTCATTATAAAATGAATATACGTACCTTCTAGAAAGTTTGAAAAGTAAAAAGAAGAAGAACTTGAGTCTGCAAAATCCGAAAACGCAACTGTTAGTCATTTCTTTGAGAAACATTCGTTACGCAGTAACTTCTGTTTGGTGACATTCTTATTCAATGAATCTGCTGCTATCCCAGGAGATCCAGATCACAAGAACGACACCATGAATTCACTCAGTGAAGCCAATACCCGCTTCGCCTACGACCTGTTCCAACAGTTCAGAAAATCAAAGAAGGAAAATATCTTCTATTCTCCACTCAGTATCACATCAGCTTTAGCCATGACTTACTTAGGGTCCCAAAAACGCACCGCATCAGAAATTCAGAAGGTAGGTGTCAGCTTTGTTTACATCGCCCAGTTTGGGATGGTCCCTCTGCTGGCTTGTGTGCTGGTGGTCACCGATCTGGCTGTCCTCATGAGTAGCACAGGGGAGCAAGTAATTCCAAGACTCGACCAACTGTTTCCCAGTGCCTAGACTTCCTCTGGGAGCTGGGAGGAACCCCTACTATTGTCCACCAACCAGATGTGTGGCTTAAAGGGAGAATGATTACTAGAAGTGATGTATTGACTTAAATCCAGGGGACATAGCATCACATGTGTCCTCAGCAATGAATGAATATGAATTGGGTTCTTTGAAGTGGTTGGTCATAACCCAGCTTGGCTGTGTTTTCTCAAGGAGCAAAGTCTTAGACAAAAGTTTTCTTTAGTCTTTTTCCTTTGTTTTGGTTTGGTTCGGTTTTTGTTTTGTTTTTTTGTTTGGGGGTGTAGGTTTACTTTTTTCTGCCATTCTTTCTTTGTTTTTCCTCTTAATTTCCTTTGCTGAAGAAAGATCTTTTGAGTCAAGTTGTCTTGTTCCACTTCCCACCCCTTCCAGGTTCTGCACTTTAATGAAGTCACCGAAGACACAAAGGGCGGAGCCAAGACAGCTCAGGTGAGTCACAGCCCACTGCGGCCTAGAAGGAGCATCAATGCCCAAGAGGGTCAAAATGTAAACTAGGAATTTCACATCAACCATGCAAAGTCCATCTCTTTGGGGAAATGTTGGGCAAAATAGAGACTAGACAAACGGAGTTGGTTTTTATTTTATATCACATATTTATTTCGTATTTTTGTTTTCCTGAAAGGAGAGCAGCATTGTGATTAAGAGCGTGGCTACTAGAACCAAAAGGCCAACCGGGGGCAAGGTGCAACTGCTCTGAGCCACACTGACCTTATCCCGTGAACCAGGGGCAATAAAAGAGCTGCCTCTATTCATGAAGATAGATTCCAAACATTGCAACGGGGCCTGGATTACTGAAAACCTTGATACAAATCATGTTATTACTATTATAGAATAACAATTCTAGTAATCATAATAACATTGCTAAAAGTCATGTAATTTTAATTAACTCATATGTGGGGTTAAGGAAAATAAGCATACAGCCAGCTATATTTTGGGAAATGACTGTATGAGATCATGGCTTATAGCCCAGTAGTCCAAAACTCTGAGCTAGCATGGAAAGTCCCAATTCAGACAGGCCTGAGTTTCAAATATTAGCTCTGTGATATTGTGTCCTTGGGGGAGTTACTTAACTTTTTGAGCTTCTTATTTTCATCTGATGTAGACTAAAGACTGAGAGATGCAGATGTAGAGCCCTCGGTAATGTACCAGGCACACACTGTAATGCCCCTGCTCCTGGATTATGACCATTATGAGTAAAAAACATAGATTACAGTCAGTGGCTCCTAGATGACCATATATATCACAGCATATTAAAATATCCAAGTTCAACACTCTCATGCCATTGACGGCTGTTAGAAAAGACGTACAGTCTAGTCCTTACGGAGCTGGGGTTTAGCTGGAATGCTACGCCTACCCGCTGAACCAATGAAAAGACAGCCCAGTGGCGGGTGGGGCTGCCTCCATGCTCACAAGGAAAATACTGGAGCATGTTAGAGCAGAAAGAAAAAAATTCTGGATGATTCAATGGAAGGATTATAAAGGTTATTTGAGGTAAAATATGCAAGATATCAGAGAGTAACAGTAAACGTCACCCATGGGGCTGGCAAACGTTAGGTATGGGTCTAACAGACTTAAGTACAGGGCTTAGTACTTGCGTTGACAAAGAATTTAGTGAGCTCACTTTTTGACGTTTGAAGGTTGAAAAGTTGGACAATGTGCACCAGCAATTTCAAAAGCTTCTGACTGAGCTAAGTAGACCCATGGATGCCTATACGCTGAGTGTTGCCAACAGACTTTACGGAGCAAAGAAGTTTCCTTTTCTTCAGGTGAGTTTCATGGATCTACTACTCCTTTCACCTACATCCTGGGTCCTCTGTCCCCAGTGACCAAACTGGGGAGATGAGTCACATGAGCTTGGCTGACCCACCCAGGGATCATTTGCTCAATGCTCATCAGGACCACAGCTCTGTCCACTGGAGTGTCCCCAAGCCTGACAACCCTCCAGTAAAGTGTGGGTTTAGGGGTGGTATGATGTACTGTGTTTGGTCATGATTAAACATAATTTAATTAGGGAATGCATAGTTACTGATAGATTCCTCTTGTCTTCCTTTCCTCATCAAAGGAATACATGGATAATGTCAAGAAGTTCTACCTCGCCAGTGTGGAGTCTGTGGATTTTGCAAATGCTGCAGATGAGAGCCGAAAGATGATCAATTCCTGGGTGGAAAGCCAAACAAATGGTACAGTATGAGAGGGTCACCCTGAAAAACCACCGTGAGTCCCCGCCGTGCATGAACCCTGTGCCTGGCACAGCCTGGGGTACCCGGAAAAGGGGGTGAGAGGAATCTGCAGAGAGTCCGGAGGAGGGAAGAGTGGATAGAGGCAGGGTCAGTGTGAATGTGGACAGAACTAGAGAAACCCAAGACGGGTCACTGGACCAGCTACATGGACGCCCATCTGGAGACTGATGGCATCTTTGCGGACCCCAAGTCTCTACTCAGACCGTATCTTGGGTTCACATCTTGTACTTAACTTCTGGATTATGATCCCTAAGAGGAAATATTAGAAAGGGATCCCTTGTCCTTCGTTAACTGGCAAACAGCTCTCCCATAAATGCCCCTTCTTGCCACCTGCTGCCCACTTGGCCATCCCCACAGCTTCTTCCCTGACCACAGCGGAGCTTGGCGAAGTCTCCGGCCTGTGAGCCGTGGCCTCCCTCCCACCTGCAGTCCAGGCTAAACCGACGACAGTTGGAAGTGGAGAGGAACGAGGAGGATGGATGCCCCAGAGACTGTGGCTGACCACACGGGGCGTGTACTTCAGACTACAGAGCTTTGGCCCTAAGGAACGTTCAAGCCCTATTTCCTCGGAGTAGTGAGCCTAAATTTGAAGAAAAAAAAAGAAAGAGAGAAAGAGAGGAAGAGAGGAAGAAGAAGAAAGAAAGAAAGAAAGAAAGAAAGAAAGAAAGAAAGAAAGAAAGAAAGAGAGAGAGAGAGAGAGAAGAGAGAAAGAGAGAAAGAGAGAAAGAGAGAAAGAGAGAAAGAGAGAGAGAGAGAGAGAGAGAGAAGAGAGAGAGAGTAGAAAGAGAGAAAGAGAGAAGAGAGAAAGAGAGAAAGAGAGAAAGAGAGAAAGAGAGAAAGAGAGAAAGAGAGAAAGAGAGAAAGAAAGAAAGAAGAAAGAAAGAAAGAAAGAAAGAAAGAAAGAAAGAAAGAAAGAAAGAAAGAAAGAAAGACAAAGAAAAGGAGGAAGGGGGGAAAAGGAGAATAGGCTGGAGGATGGGGGCGGGTCTGGAGGAAGGAAGGCACAGAGGAAGGAAATGCATTTGTTGAAAGAGTAGATGAAATCAGCTCATCAGTGCTCAGTGTGGGAGACTGAAGTCGCCCTCAGAGACCCGGAACACTTCCGAATCATAAGAAGGGGTGTTTTCTCCCTGAGGGTAACTGCACTGTGCGGGTGCCATGGGAAAAGCTGTACCTTAGGAACTGTTCGGTCACGGAATCCCTGATGTGGTGACTGGCGTGAATAACTGATGACCACTTGAACTTCCCAAGCACCTTCTAGACAAGTCACTTGTACCTTTATAACAGACCTTTGTTTTTCTTTCCTTTGCAGGAAAAATCAAGGATCTCTTCCCCAAAGGCACTATCAACAGCACCACCATTCTGGTCCTGGTGAACGCCATCTATTTCAAAGGGCTGTGGGAAGACAAATTTGATCCAAAACTAACCCAGCAGCAAGAATTTTGGCTGAACAAGGTATTGGCTGTTATTTATTTATATCATGCAATGTAGCTATACGTGGAACGTTCTGTTTCACCCCTTTTTTTGATTCATGTGCAACTGCCAGGTAGAGAGTAGAATTTCTCATGGCTGCACTTTCTTGTTTGATTTTATTTTTTTACTTTTATTTATCTGGGAACACTGAAAGAAACCCTTCTCTCTAATTCACAGAGGTCCCAGGCTGTCTCTTAGAAGGAGAATGTGTGTGGTATCTCAATAATAAGATCTCTTTTTTTAAACTTACACCTCTTACCTTTTTTTTTTTTTTTTTTTTAAATTACGCCTCCCTTGGCATTGGCTTGCCACACTGACTGACTGCAGGACACAAGCAAATCTGTGCAGATGATGAGTCAAAGCCGTATGTTCAATTTCGCCTCCCTGGAGGACGTGCAAGCCAAGGCCCTGGAAATACCGTACAAAGGCAGAGATCTGAGCATGCTGCTGCTGCTGCCCAATGAGCTCGACGGCCTTGCGCAGGTAAGAGCTTGTGCCTCCCATTCTTTCTTCTGTCGCCCAGTGTCCTCATGGTACACGCAGGGGTGTACTACGTGGTACACGCCGGGGTGGGCTGTGCATGGAAGCAGTGCTCACAGCCCGTGGGGGATGTCGGAAGGGGCTCAAGAGTAGATTATATTGTCTCTTCTCGGCATGAGCCTCACGGGGAAGTGTTGAGGAGAAGATGGCATTCTGTCATGGTCCAAATAATAAATAAAATCTTTAGCATCACAATGTGTATGACATGGAAGAATATATAGAAAAGTTTAAGATCTCAGGTTCTATTAATATTCTGATGAAACCATGAATGTCACATCAGAAACAAGTATATACCTTGGCACACACACAGACTATTTCACAACCATAAGAATCTCGGATATATTCCAGTTGACTCATTTGAAGACAAAAATAAATGAAAACTAAGACTTTGATGTCAGTGACACATGGAAAAACACATGCAAGTTCAGCCATAAGCAGAAGCAAGCCAAGTAAAGCCCCCGTGGGGACCATTCTGCATGAGAAATCACAGTGGGTCCGTGGCCAGCAGACAAGTAGATTTATCTTGATGTTCACTTTTCCATTTAGACGTAGTCTATTCCTAGGAGCTTAAAGTTATCTGGAGTCTCATTTTTGTGAGAACCAAAAAAAAAAGAGGAATTTTCCTCTTAGCATTGTTACAATGATTAAAGACAATGGGTAAAAATATCCATGACAGTATCTGACATGCTGAGGACATTCCCAATATGGCCACTGCAGTTCCTGTAACAGCCAGTGACACTGCTGGAGCTGCAGTGAGCTGGCTGCACTCCAAATACAGACTGTGGCAGCCCTGGCAATGGGAAGTCCTCCGGGAGAGCATCTGGTGGGACAGGTGAGCACCCCTCGCAATCCCTGTCCTCCTTATCGGTGACAGCAGGAACCCCAGCCTGGGGCTTACCCTACATGTCCTTCGTTTCCCTATGATAATTCCATCTTTGGGACAAAATGTTCAAGTCTAAACAAGGCAACAGCTTTCAGACCAAAGTGGCTAAAAGTAATGAGAAAGTCAAAACAAGGAGCAATGGTGTAGCCTTGTATTGCCAATAGTTTAGCTTAGGGGCTGGCACACAATACATGCTTCAAAAACATGAATTACAGAAAGATATAGACATTGACTATCTGTTTCACGGTAGAATTAGATAGCAATTTAAACTTGATTAAAGAAATATATAGCTATATGAGAAATGTTTACAAATAGGCCAAGCAACAAAAAGAAATAAAAATAAGTTATATGCTGTAAATTGTAAAAAATGATCTACCAATGGACAGTAACTAGAAAAGACCTATTTAAAATGGAAACATACAGTGAATGGGCAGTTAAGAAATGGAGAGATATATAGTTCATCTTTTACAAAATAACTTTATTTAATGGCTCTGCTTTATATATACACACACACACACACACACACACACACATATATACACACACACACATATATATAAAATACAGAAGATTCCCTTTATTATATATAATATATATTTATGTATTACTATATATTGTATAGTACATGTAACTGAATCTTCTGTGTTTATATGAGCTGTAACATACAATCCAATGTTCAGTTGTGCTCAGTGCTCACTGAGAATCATAACATTCACTGTTTTTCCCATTGTTACAGCTCGAAGACAAACTCACCCCTGAGAAATTAATAGAGTGGACGAGCTCACAGAATATGAACATGATGAATGTGAGTTTGCTCCTACCTCGCTTCACAGTGGAAGAGAGTTACGACCTCGGGGCCACGTTGGTTGACCTGGGGATGGTGGACGCCTTCAGGGCACAGGACGCCGACTTCTCAGGGATGACGGGGAGCCGGGGTCTCATGCTGTCTAAAGTCCTGCACAAGTCCTTTGTGGAGGTGACAGAAGAGGGCACAGAAGCCGCAGCCTCCACCGGCGTCAGCATTATATTAACGTCAGCACCAATTTATGAAACCTTCCATTGCAATCACCCTTTCCTGTTCTTCATCAAGCACAATAAGACCAGCAGCATCCTCTTCTTTGGCAGAGTCTCTTCTCCTTAGGTGTGCTTGGCCTGCCACAGCCCGGGCGGTCACAGAGTCCTTCCAGGGTACTGATCGCTGGAGACAGGTTCTCTTTAGCTTTCCTGTCCAATCTCAGAGCCATCACTAAGAATGCAACGTGTGAATCAACATGTGTGTCTCTGTCTTCCTACAAACACGTGTCAATGTCCTTTATTTCCCTATGATAATTCCATCTTTGGGACAAAATGTTCAAGAAAAGGAAAAAGGATATTTCAACACTCTGTCTTCTAAATTTGAAATATCATATCTACTGCTTCAAAAATCATGTCTACTATTCAAATGCATTAACTTTACACCTACATTTATTTAAATTCATATATATTTGCTGTAACATTTCAATCCAGTGTTCAATTGTGTTCAATGTCCACTGAGAATCACTGAGACCCTTACCTGTCTACATTTTTTTATTTTATGAAATACATGATCAATAAAATCGTGACTGATGGACATTATTGGTTGCTTTTCCTTAGTCAAAGATGAAAGCCAAACCTCACAAAACGACCGATGCTCTACAAATAAAAGGGTGCGTACCTTCTTCCTTGACAAAACGATATTGTCCCCCTTCTGGGAAAATCCTCAATGTGTAATCTTGTCAGTTCTACCCGACTGGGCCTCTGTCAGAATTATGTTGTACACCTAGAGCACACGCAGGGGTCAGCTACTAGGTGACCAATGAATGAATGACTGAGTCATTCCCTCTGAGTCACTCAGGAGCCATTATTTCTTCTATGAGAACTTATTTATATTTCTATTATAAAAGATATAAAAATGCAAGAAGAGGTTTCTTATCTGCCTCACTGTGAGTAGTGTTGGGAAGACCATTTAGCAGGCCCCCACCTGCACCTGCTTCGCACCGTGCTGGATTAGGCAGTGAGTCCTCAGAAACAGGATGACAAAGAAAATGAATAAATAAACCCAGCATCCTGAAGGTCAGAACAGGAAAACCAAATTCAGCACATAAGCGCGCGCAGCCGCCTTTCAGAACGGATACCCTAACGCCGATGTCAGGGCACAGTCCAAGGTCTGTGTAACATAGACGTGTAAGCACCTGCAATCAGTCCGAAAATAGCTAGTGAGCAGTCAGAAAACCAGAAAGCCACAAAAAGGAAGGATCCCTTAAACGAGATTCTGGATGGCATTTCACAATAGACCCAGAGACCAGCACTCACTGAAAGTCCCACCTCCCAAGTGTTAACCCCAGAGGGCAGGGCCATCCCAGGGCCCAGAAACTCAGGGCCAGGCCCTCATCTTCTAGAACCTTCCCATCTCAGGCTGGATTGTCTCTCTTCCTGGTAATTATGTGTCCTGATGGGTGGGAACCAGAAATACTCCTACTCCAACGTATTGCCTAAAATGATTCGTGTTTTATTTGAGACTAAGAATGCACTTGCTTTCTTTCTAAGAAGGGATTTTTTTTACCTATGTTTTATGTCTAGCAATTTTTTATAAAGCAAACCTTGCATTTTTTTTTTTTTTTTTTTAGTACACTCTGAGTCAGATAGTGACCAGACTCAGGCTTACCTTCAGCTAAATTGCACATGACAGAGGGAGGCCTGTCTGCACTTCACCTTTCTGCAGGAATGTTTATTTCGGGGGTTGCACGTCAGTGACCTGAAGGCCATGCCAAGCAGCTACTGCAGAGGCCCCTGGAGCTCTGCACCCCAGGACCGATGAAGCCTGTCACAGGATTGGCCTCTTGTTCTTCAGAACGTGGCTCAGACGGCGCAAATGGTACCCCAGGCAGGCGACCCTTTCCACCCCGAGACCGCACCCTCCAAATACACACCTGCGTAAGCATGGCAGTGACACCGTGCTCAGAGGTCCTGGGCCCTTCTGCTGACCCTCGGAGAGAGGCATGAAAAGATGTCACTTTTAGAACCAGTTGTTCTGACCACACTTGTTGCAGTCGCAGGTTTTAGGTGTGGTGAGCGGATAAAATTTGCCTGGCGATGCGGGATGCATAAGAAATAAAGGGCCAGAAGTCAGTATTTTCAAAACCTAGGGATTAGTTGGAGTGAGCTTAGCGAGTCAGAATTTTTGAGCACTTTTGATGGGCTTAATAGACACATCTGTGGACAGCTTCCTGGATCACTTGCTTCCAAACACTGACAGGGAAGTATCAACGCCACTCTACCCTGGAATCCACGAACATTTTACAACTGATCATAGAACAGCTCAGATTTTGATATGGTGGCTAAGGACAGCGCGGCTATGACTGGGTTTCCAAGCGAAGTTAAAGGATGCGACTGTTGTTACTGGCGCTGATGATAAAGACAATGGCAAGGGTAGTGATGGTGGTGATATGATCGTGACAGCAAAGAAAATGAAGTCAGCATCAATTGGATGCATACTATATTCCAGCTGCTTTAATAAGCACATATTCTATTTATCTTCACAACAGCCGGATAAAGTAGAAACTCTTATAAAACCAGTTTTTATTTTTTTATTATTATTTTTTTAATCCTCACTTGAGGACATTTTTCCATTTTTTGTTCAGATAGAGTGGGAGGGGGAGAGAGAGAGAAACATCAACATGAAAGGGACACATCGAGTGGTTGCCACCCACGCAACCCAACCAGGGCTGGGGACAAACTGCAACTGAGGTACGTACCCTTAGCAGGAACCGAACCCGGGTCTCTCTGGACCGCAGGCCGACACTCTAACTGCTGAGCCAAACTGGCCAGGGCATCATAAAACCAGTTTTTAAAATGAAGAAACTGAAGCTCAAAAAGATAAACTTAACTACCCAAGGCCATATTTCTATTTGCAAAGTCCAGATCTATATTCCGTTTGTCTGACCCTGAAGTTAGCACATAGGAGGAGGACTTAGAAATAGACGTGAACAGAATTTGTTTTTGTTGCTAAAGTTGTTGACCTTAATTCCCTCCACATGTCTGGATTAATTATTTCCCATTATAATTAGATAGTGGACTATTTTCATAAAGAGCCATCACCAATATAATGTTAAAAGTGATACTAGAGATCATTTATACAATTTTCTTCATTTAACCAAAAAAAAAAAAGTTCCAAGGACACGAACTGCCATCCTTGGCCTCACAGTTAGGTCAGGGCAGAGCTGGGACAGACACTCCAGCTTCCTGACCCCAGATCCATCACTCTTCGCTTTGCTCCCTGCCCCTCACGGGTTAATAAACGTCATGTTGCCTCTCAGACGCTGACTCCCACCCTTTGAGAGCAGTGACTGCACAGGCCTGGAGGTACCCGCTCCCAGACACGCTCGCCCTTGGCCGTCATCAACAAGCCCAGTGCCGACTGCACTGAAGTTCATGCCTGATAGATGATGGTAAACACGGGCATTTCACATTCTCCACTGCCAACTTGTTAGGTGCTATCTCCTTGCTCCTCCGATAAGGATAGAACATTGCCTATAAGATGTGAAGAAACCTTAAACTAGTCAGATTTTTGATCACTTGCATTTTCGGACATTGATCTGGATGCTGAGGGTGCAATGATAACTACAGTGAGTGAAGGAGACAGAGAACATCGATACAATAATTAGAAGGATGAATGATCTCACCAAGAGCTCTGGGAGGACTGTGATTGGTGGGGTAGTTTGGGAGGGGCAGGAAATGTTTTAAACCCAAAAGTGTCTGATTTATGTTTTTCAAAGTCAGGATGTCAATGTATTGATTCATAAAAAGAATTGTATCTTAAATGAAGTCTACTTATCCCTGGGAACTCCTTCCAGTTGCTTAAGTTCACAGATCAAGTTGTACATGAAAAACTTGCTTGGCCAACGAAGGAGAAAAAAAAAATTAAAATGAGACTTTCAGCATTAGAATGGGTCTGTGTACCAGTATCTTTCCTCTTCCTCTATAAGCAAGAAGATGACAAAGAAGAAGAAAAAGGGGGAAGAGGAGGAAGAAGAAAAATATATCTATAAATTCCTTTTTAACTATAGTTAGGAAGTAGGTATAATTCATGGACTCATAATTCATATAAAGGAAAGATTTGGATTAGTGGACTTGTTCATAGTGGGAGATTATCAGAGAAAACTTTTTTTGACCTGTCTGTAGGACAGGACCATTTTCTATTTACTAAACATCTGTTCTTCTTATAATTCTGCAGTGACTCTTTAAAGACCCCAAGTCACCTCACCTCACTTTTGCTCAGGATGTCTTATATACTCTTGCTTCCTTTCTGTCTCTGAACCTTCTCTCGTGTGTGGGGGTCTCCTGGCTCTCTCGTGTATGCCAGGTTCCATACGTATGTACGTATCAGATTTGGTTACTGTTCATCTGTCTCATGTCTGTTTGATTATTAGGTCAGCTGTAAGGACCTTGAGGGTGGAGGAAGGTTTGTTCTTCTCCCACAGTTGTCAAAGGTGAAAACAGCTGAGGTTGAGCAGGAGGCCCTGGAGGAAGTAACGAGAAAAGCGAGGAGGTTGATAAGAGGGCTCAGCAGCAGCAGAGTTCCGAGAGTCTCAGCAAAAATCTATTTCTCACCATGAGAAAGAGCCTCTCCCCGAATACAGAAAACAGCACGATTTCCCGGACGTTGGCGTTGAGCCCGGCATTCTGGGTCAGCTGGAGGGAGCTTCCCGGGCCTGATCTGGCTCATGGGGCCCAGAGGACATGAGTCACCCAGGAATCACACAGCCTTCCAGTCTCTGCTGTGATGGGGAAAGCTGGAGAGAGTGCTACCCCACCCTAACGGGTGAAAAACAAGAAAAATCTGGATGATACAGAAATTATTAAGCCCATCAGAAAGCCACGGTTGCAAGGCAAGCGCCCAGCCTGAACTCGAAGGAGAGGCCAGTGCCTACACGAAGAGACAGGGCGCCAGCTCTGGCTTACCTGGGCAGGACACTGGAGGAAGACAGGGCCCAGGCAGTGCTGAGGCCAAGCGTGGGCAGCGCCAGGGAATAGAACCCCTGGGAGCCTCACATGCAGAGGGGGTTTATACCGTCTTCACCACAAAGTTTCTGGGGTGTTCGAGAGCGCCTCTTTAAGCTCGTGGTAAGAAAGCCGGTGAGCTCCCTCCCTTGGCACCTGCAGGAAGTGCAAACCAAGCAAGCATGTCTTGACAGGGCACAGGGACCCTCGCCCAAGCCCAAATCCTGACCACAATAAAGTCCTCCTGAGTCTCTGAAGCCAGGGACCCTGCCATGTGCTCCCCAGAAAGCCTCGTTATGTGAGTAATCGATCTCTTCATACCTTCCTGGTGCATGTGTGGTACCATGTCTCAATGTTCAACCAATTTTTTGTGTGGAGGTAGGGGGAGTTTATTCTATCTCCATGGGTTGACCACAACATTCCACTATGTGATGTATATTTTCAACGCAATATTCAGATGATATAGCATAAAAGTATACACTTGAAATATATATAACCATATTAACCAATGTCACACAATCAATTTAATTAAAAAATAAAAACTCACTGTAAGTATAAGGACACATCTAAGTTCAAATGAAAAGATTAAAAAAAAAAGTCCAGCCAGTATGGCTCAGTGGTTGGATGTCGACCCATGCACCAAGAGGTCGCCAGTTTGATTACTGGTCAGGGCACATGCCCAGGTTGTGGGCCAAATCTCCGGGGGGGGGGGGGCATGCAGGAGGCGGCCAATCGATGTTCTCTGTCATTGATATTTCTGTCTCTATCTCCCTCTCACTTTCTCTCTAAAAAAATCAATAAAGAAAAAATATATTTTTAATATATATATATATTTTAAATACCATGCCAACACTAGTCATATAAAAGCCTGAGTGGTTATGTTATTAGACAAATCAAGTCTCAGGAAAGATGTTCAGGGATAGGGAGATATTAACATATGACAGACATGCATGTCTATCAGTAGAGGGACAGAGGATCCAGAAACAGACCCACATGTACTTCTGTCACAGGTTTTCCAGGTGGTTAACTCATCCAGGTAAGGACAGTCTTTCCAACAAAGGCTGCTGGAGCACCTGAGTGACCGCATGAGAAACGACGAGCCCCAAACCTTACTTCGTGATAATTAGTTGAAAGTAAATCATAGGTCTAAATGTAAATACTAATGCCAGGAAAGTTCTAGAAGAAAAGATAGAAGAATGTCTTAGCAAACTTGGGATGTGCAAAAAAATTCACAAATACCACAGAAAGAAAAAGAACCATAAAAGAAAAAAAATTAATGGACTCCATGAAAATTTTAATTTCTCAATAACTCCATCAATGGCACCAAAATTAAATTTATAGAGCTGATATAAAGCTTTTATTCAGAAGATATCAAAAACAATTATAAGTCAATAATAAGAAAACAATTTAATAAAAATGGGCCAAAAAAATGAATGGACATTTCACAAAAGAAGATGTCATGTGGCCAGCATGCACATGAAGAGTCTCAGCATCATCAATCATAAGGGAAACGCATCAATTAAAATCACAATGAGATGCCACCCTCACACCCACTGGATTGGTATGATGAAGAGCACGGGCCACACCAACCGCTGCTGAGGACACAGAGCAACTGGGATGCTCATGCATTGCTCGTAAGAGTGGAAAATGGTACGGCCACTTTGGAGAACCTTTTGACAGTTTCTTATAAATTTAAAGATATACTGTATATACCATATGACCAGCAATTTCATTCCTAGGTATCTACCCGAGAGAAATGAAAACATATGTCCACACAAAGACGTATGCTTTGTGCTCTGTAGCATTATGCATAGTAGCCAAACACTGGAAGCAACATAAATGCCCAATGGGTAGATAGATAAACAAAATGTGATTTATCCACACAACAGAATACTGTTTGTCAGTAGAAAGTAATGAACTACTGATACCCCAACAACATTGATGAACTTAGTACTCAGCAAAAGAAGCTAGACACAAAAGAGAACATATGATATGAATCAATTTGAGTGAAACCCTAAAAGTGACAAATCCACCCTGTAGTGATAGAAAGCAGGTCAGCAGTTTCATGTGCTGGGACTGTGTGGGGTGATTGACAGGGAAACAGAGCCAGGTAACATTGAGGGATGATGAAAATGTTCTGTATGTTGGGTGTGGTGGTGCTTGCACAGGTGTATGCATTTACCAAAACTCAACTTCTAGGATTAAAATGAGTGCATCTTATGATCGCGTGGATTTCACAATATCAAGATGCGTATGCAATTGACAATGAATAATATTCTCTGTTGGAATAGAGAGTGAAAACATGGGCATCCTCTCTGCTGGAATATTGTTTTACTTTGTTCTGGCTTTTGAGTTTTAATTTGTTTCACCAGTGTGTTTGTAAATTACCTTTCCTGTGTGCAGCTTGCCACACCAACTGCTGAGAAAGAAAAAAGTAACACGCGGATTGAGAAAATTATTGTTTTATTTGACTTTTATTATAAGCTTTCAATATATTAGCTGAGGGGATTCTCAAAATCACGAGTTGATAGTCTTTACTGATGAGACAGTTTCTTTCATTGGTGCATAAAACTACAAGTAATTAATTTACTTTTGGAAGAAATCAACAGCATATTATTAATAAGCTTTGATTTAACTCACTTTATACTTGACGCAGACAAAGGGACATTTGACTTTTAAGAAAAAGTATAAGCACACACACACAGTGTAGTAACGAAATCGTCCGTTTTGATGGCATTGGAACGCAAGCAAGAAAAGCACATTTCTTCCAAGAATGGGCCACTTCCAGAGTCTTACTAAGGCTCCAACACCGGCTTCCTGCCAGGCCAGGGACCGGCCTAAGGAGAGGAAAATCTGCCGAAGAAGAGGACGCTGCTGGACTCATTGTGCCTGATGAAGAACAGGAAGGGATGGTTGCAGTGAAAAGTTTCACAACCTGACACTGACGTGGCCACAAAGCCCGCCCCGGTGGCCGCCGCAGCCTCGGTGCCGTCCTCCGCCACCACCACGACGGCCCTGTGCAGGAACCTCTGGGCCTGCAGCCCCGCGCGCTCGGCCCGGGCAGGGTCGGCCCCCCGCGGCCCCAAGGCTCCCGCCAGCCCCACGGCCGCCAGCGCCGCCTCCAGGTCGTAGCTGTCTTGCAGCTGGAAGTGGGGCAGGTGCACGTCCACCATCCTCTCCTCCATCTGCCCTGGGTCGGTCCACTCCACCAGGTTCCTGGGGCTTATGTTACTTACAATCTATTCGGGAAAAGAGGGGAGGACAGAATGGCTCGATTATTGATAAAAGTTTGAAACAGTGTCACGCTGACTTGTATTAGTCAGAAATCATTCATTTTAGTAACAAAAGTAGAAATTTTATTTCACAAGACGTTGTCTTTCTATAGTAGGCACTTGTCATATGTTTCTCTGTTTAAATTCTCTGTGCATAGATGAAAAGTCAATAGCATTTAGTGAATTTTTAAAGGTGAGAAGAGTAATTATTCTATCGATCTACTACATATTATTCCATATCTCACCAGTCTCTTTAATGTCTTTGTATACATATATTATATATAATTTTAGATAACAAAGTATATGTTTATATAAATTATATAATAAGCACATTATATTTAATATATTATTGTAAATAGCGAGATGTTTATTATAATATATAATACATATTAATATATTTACATATAAATATACATATTTACATAGTTGCAGTCACAGTGGTTGTCCATTTTATACTGCATATCGCTCCTATATATCTTCAGACTGATAGATATTTTCATCACATTGATCAATTTTACCCATATTAACCCATTCATTTACTTTACAAGTGTCTAGTATGTATCACACATGATAGATGATAGACTCTGTAGCTACAAATGTAATTATTATGATGAATTTCAAACTAGGTATCCTAGTGTATTTAATACAGAAATTACTAATCAATTCAGAAGGACAATTATTTTCTTCTGAATTATTTCCCTAGGAAATTATTTACAACAGGAGTTTTTGAGTCAGAGTAGGAATACTCTTAAACAGACTGCCATTTTGCAACGTGTTTTCCAACATATAGGGGTCGCTATTAGCCATGTTCAGAGCCACAGACCAGCATCCACTATTACAACAATCTGTGTGAGAGGTGCTACATTGTTGTAAGACTGATGCTGTTCTGTATGTGTTACAGAGACAGAGCTAAAGATCGAGATGGAGATACATAGAGACAGAGATAAAGATGGAGTGTGTTCTCTAATCATTGCACTTGCACTACACATTAAAAGCTAGGAAGCCCATTTTATAGATGGAAAATATTGAGGTTCAAGGAAGTTAAACAGCTTCAAAAGACATAATGTTACTAAATAGAGGAACGGGGATTTGAAACAAAGCCTTCCTGGTTTCACTAGCTACGTCAATATTTTAACAGCAAAGTGGGTAGGACTAAATCAAAGGGTTCTAGGTTAAGGGTCCTATGGACTGTGGGTGATTACTGTGTGTCAATGTAGGATCATCCTTGATTTTAAAAATAAAAATAAAAATAAACATTTTTTTTTCTGACAAGTGATGTTGATTCTGTGGGAGGCTATGATGTGTGGGGCAGGAGGTGTGTGGCCAATTCTGTACCTTCTTCTCCATTTTGTTGTAAACCTAAAACTTTTTTTAAAGTTGAAGGTCTAAAATAATTCAGAAGGTCTGAATAGCGTGCAGAATTTGCTGGAGACATGGACATGTGATTTTCGTCTGGGAAAGAGGGTGCCTACACAACCAACCATTTCTCAGAATGCTGGGTGATCTTTCCAGTCCCCGTATGACCTTAACTATTCGTGTCAGCTCATTCCCAAACATCTTAGTCTTGGCTGTTCTCAAGAAACCTGATGTAGTCGATCGCTCCTCTTCAGACATCTACACAGCCGCACAAATAGTTCCCACCGGGCTCCCAATCAGAAGCCCCGTTTCCAGGCTCCCCAAGAAAACTCTGAGATGCAAAGGCTCCAGAAATTAAAGCAAGAGCGGGGACGCGCAAGGTTTACCTTCTCCAGACCGTCGATGTCATTGGGCAGCAACACGAACATGCTCAGGTCGTTGTTTTTATAGGGAATCCCCAGAATCTTGGCCTGCTGGTCCTTCAGGACAGTATAGCTGAAGGACTGGTGCTGTGTCATCATCAACACGGGTTTACTTGTGCTCTGTAACAAATTAGCCGAGCCCTCGATGTCCAAAGAGGCACAAGATGACCAGGCGAGCTCCCCCAAATGACGATCTCACCCTAGAACCGTGCTACGCTCTGAGCTTCCAGATCAGCACTTGCTGCCGACCCTGGACACGGACGAGGATACGCTTTCAGAATTTCCATTCCATGTGTCAGCAAGTCACGTATATAAAGGGTCATACCTTATCCAGCCAAAACTCCTCCTCCTTGGTGTGTCCTTTCTCAAACTCCCTGTCCCACTGCCCTTTGAAATGCACGACGTTCACCAGCACCAGCTTTGTGGAGCTGTTGAGAGCGGCGTCCGGAAACAGGTCCTCGGATTTTTCTGCAAACACCAAAGTTGGCCCATCTTAGAAACTGTAAGTGAGATGCATGGCAGATACAATGTGGGTGGACTCGACTGGTCTTGCAAACCTCAGCCAGGTCAGCACCTGCAGGCCCTGCCAACACGGGTTCACGGGGAGCTCACTGCCCACCATCCTCACGGCCCACCGTCCTCACTGCCCACCGTCCTCACGGCCCACCATCCTCATGGCCCACCGTCCTCACTGCCCACCGTCCTCACTGCCCACCGTCCTCACTGCCCACCGTCCTCACTGCCCACCGTCCTTACTGCCCACCGTCCTCATTGCCCACCGTCCTCACTGCCCGCCGCCTGTTTGTCCCAGTGGATAGACTGAGGCATGAGGGGGGAGGAGCTCAACGTCTGGGACCAGACTACCTCTGCGAGGAGCAAATTTTGCCTCTTATCAGATGAAGCATCTTGGGCAAGTTATTTAAGCTCTCTGTGCCTCAGTTTCCACATGTATAAACTGGAATGAAACCTGCCTCACAGGGTTGTTGAAAGGAGTAAACAATTTAATATGCACATGGCACTCAGACCACTCTCTGACTCACAGTAAGCACTCAGTAAATGTTAGCTATTATCATTTGTACCCATGTGATACAGTTACCACCTGAGGATAAGTGTATTGATTTTAGAGAGAGAAACATCTATCGGTTGTCTTCCACATGCACCCCAACCGAGGATCAAACCCGCAATCTAGGTATGTGCCCTGACCAGGAATCCAACCCGCAACCTTTTTGGTGTATAAAACCAACTGAGCCACCCAGCCTGGCACAAAAGCAGGTCTTGATGGAAGAGCTGAATGTTTCTTACTTGATAAAAAGAAAGGAAACTCTCTATGATAACATTTCCACTTTAGGACCCAGACTCAGAAAGAAAGTCTCTTTTTTTATCCTTACCTAGGGACACTTTTGCATTTCTCTTCAGATAGAGTGGGAGGGAGAAAGGGAGGAAAAGAGAGAGAGAAACATTGATGTGAGAGAGACACATCGAGTGGCTGCCACCCACCCGACCCCAACCAGGGCCGTGGACAAACCGCAACCAAGGTACGTGCCCTTAGTGGGAACTGAACCCGGGACTCTCTGGTCTGCAGGCTGATGCTCTAACCTCTGAGCCAAACCGGCCAGGGCAGAAAGGCTCTTATACAAAGGAAAGGATGTGAACCCTAGACAGACATGAGCCCAGTTTCAGGACCTTCAAAGATATTGTGATCCACCACCATGGGTGAATAATTCTCCACTAAGTGTTTCCATGAATTGGCTCCTATGATCCCCTCTCTGGCTCTCCTTGTCTCTCTCTACCATCTGCAGTGCCTCCTCCCACCCCTCATGGCCAGGCCTGCCTTTCCAACCCTAAAATCCCTTACCCAGTCCCACCCAAAGGGTGCCCACCCTGGCCCCTTGCAGTGCCAAGCACAGGGCTTCACTCACAGCAGGTAACTCAAGGAGCGTTCTCATGATGAACGACCCATCCATACTCTACCATGTGTTTGGCTTTCAACCCAGGAGTTAATCTTCTTTCGACTTTCATCTGCTGCATTTACAAAATCAACAGGTTCCAGAGAAGCATGGTAATATTTTTCAACATAATCTAAGTATTTCTTTAGGAGAAACAGGGAAGAATAGAAAGAGGTTGAAATTCAATGTATCCACTGCCAACATCTCCACATAAGTTTAGCTGTACATCAAGGTCCCGAACATTGTAAGCAGGGGTCTTGAGGACCTGGGCAAATCAGTCTGAGTACTTCCAAGCACATTTTTATGCAGGTATAACAGGGTTAAAGCAAAAATCAGATTTAAACCGCCAGTCACAAAGAAGTTTGCAAAGGGCCTGGATTGTCCGAAAATTAGGCAAGAGGGACACCGAGTGATCAGGGCCAAGCCAGGCGGTCAATGTAGGCAGCATGCCACCAGGTCCCAGTCCTAACGGGGCCGCTGGCCATTCATGAATACCACTCACAGAGGTGGTGGACACAGCAAAACTTACTTGAAGGAAAAGGTATGTCTTTTCTCCAAATAGTTTGTTGGCTATTTTCAGCTCATAATTATTAGTGAGTTTGCTTATTTCATTCAAAAACGTTTGGAATTGGTGGTGTATGTCTTCTGTCTTCTCAATCTTCAAAATCAAAACAAAAGCTCAATGAGTTATCTTAGCAAAAACAAGCCTAGATTTTGCCCCAAGGGGACGTGGCTGACGGACCTTGCCCTCAGCTTGGCAGCCGTGAGGATGGCCCGTGAGCTTGGTGTGGCCCCTGGACGTCAGGAGGCTTTTACACCAATTGTATGATAATGTGAGTCACAACCCATCTCAGCTCCATAGAGAAGCCTGGTCCTTGGCCCCCGCACCGCACCGTGGATCTTGCTTCTCCGGCTCGGGTTGCATTTTCATCTCAAATGTAATTGCTCACTAAGCCTTTCGTATGCTTGCTTTTAGCTTCCCACAATACCAGGCACCTGAGGAAAGTAGACGACTCCTCAGGTGACTCTCATCCACTTTAAACTTGGCAACATCTGTTCTAGACAGTGGATAAGAAAAGTGACTCCTGCCGGTGTGAAGAGCCATTCGTCAGAGCTATGCATTGGGCTGAAGTGAGATTTTTTTCCTATCTCTAAGGGGGGGGGGGGGCATTTTTTGTAGAATCCATCAGTTTTCTGATTGAGGTCTGAGAAGTGAGCACTCCACACTCCACAGCAAGCCGGCTAATACAGCTCCTGCCCCGAGAACAGAGAGGAACACTGCCCCCTGCCTGTTAAGTCATGTCTGCCTACTTCCATTCAGCTGGACATAAGGTACAGGCATTTTAATTTTGACTGAAAAGCTTGTCCCCGATTGCACTGTGAACAGAAAGACCTTCTTCCTGCAGAATACAAAGCCCATGGGTCTTTGTTTGTTTGTCTGTTTCATCTTTTTGTTTCATGGTTGGCTACTCAATGCCCAGAGTAGTATCTGGCACATAAAAGACACTCAGTGAATTTTTGTGCATAATTAGTGAACATTCGAAGACTTTCAAGTGGAAAATATAAAAGCGTTCTGCTCTGACAAGATATCTGAGGCTGGGCTTGACCTTTGGCTCCCTCCTTGTTACTATGAGCCTTTACAGCCTGGTGGTGATTCCCAGCTGCTCCGGCTGACCAATGTGTGAGCAGACCAAGGTCTCAACGCCTGTGGGGAATAACGGATTGTGATAAAGAGAAGGATGTAGTGGGAGTATTTCCCCAGTGGGCCAGTTGTGACTGAGTTGACCTGAAAATGGAGAAAGGGAATGAAGGCCTCCTGTAAAACAGGTTTGAGGTTTGAAAGTATACTACCCCTGTGGACTGCGAAACCCCAAACTAAAAAATTTAACTTAAAGTGACTTTAGGTGGATAACATCCCAAGATCTTATTTCAAGGAAAAAAAAACTGACCTGTATTAGAAAGACAACTACATTTCAGGTTTCACTGGACTACCATCGATTACCAACCAAATATTAGCTCATGTTCCAAAACTGTAAATCAAGAGATAAGTCTCATCAAGAATCAGATGAAAAAGTAGCAAGCAGCCATTAGACCCTCAAGGACTTGAGATGTTGACATTATCAGATATCACACTTAAAAAGCAGAATATTAAGAAAAGACATAAAAAATATGGTTAAGAAACAAGGGGCTGTTATTAAGTTCCAGGTTGATTTTATAATCAACTAGGATTCCAATTCGTACAATAAGCAATGAGATGTAGAAGCTCAATCGATGGGTTAAACAGCCCATTAGGCACTGTTAAATTAGTAGGCTAGATGGATCTGCATAATTGTCTCCGAATGCAGCACAAAGACAAAAAGCAATGAACATACGTATGACAGATGAAGAAATCCAGAAGGTAGAGTAAGAATTCTAGCAACCTTCCAAAAGGCAAGAAAGAATAGAGAACGTGCATTATTCAAAATATTAAGTGGCTGAGAGTTTTCCAGAATTGATGAAAAGTATGAATTTTCATATTGAGAAAGCACAGTACATCTGCCTTAGTCAATAAAGAAATCCACATCTATACGCATTGTAATAAAATTTGGAAACAACAGAAGCAGACAGCAAAAATTTAAATGCAGCCAGAAAGAGATCGCCTACTAACGATGGCCAAATAAACCAACTTCTTAGCAGCAACACTGCACACAAAGAGTAGAGAAAATCTTTGAAAAGATGAGAGAAAATCTCAACCTGGAATGCAACATACAGTTGAACATTCATTCAAGAACAAACAAAGGCAAATGCAACCTGGCAGCATCTACCACGTGCAAATCTTTACTAAAGAAACTTCCAGGAGTGATGTGATCAAGAAGGGAGAATAAGAAGCCCAGAACTAGAGATACTGACTTAGCAACGATACAAGAAACAAATACCTTTGTAAGAAATCCAGAAATCAGTTAAGAGGTTTCTGTACCCCAGTGAGCATAAAACCAACTGCATTGAAGCCTGGTTAAAAAAAGAAAGAAAGAAATTCATGACCCTCACTCACCAGAATTCCTAAACACACACACTCAGAGAGAGAGAGAGAGAGAGAGAGAGAGAGAGAGGGAGGGAGAGAGAGAGAGAGAGAAAGGTGGAATTAGGAGAAAAACCCCAATTCCCAAATTCTCCCTGGGGAGAGAAACAGAAGAATGCTATTTACATCCAACTTTCTAACTTTTCCAGAAGCTGGGGTTAGGAATATTACAACCTAGAGTTGGAAGAGACCCAGGAAGTCATTAATCCTGTGCTAATATTTTTCTTTTTGTTATTTAAATGAAACATCAGAGCAGGAGATGGGGAGCTTAAACTAAAAATGCAATGTAGCCCTGGCCGGTTTGGCTCAGCGGTTAGAGCGTCGGCCCGTGGACCAGAGAGTTCCTGGTTTGGTTCCCGCTAAGGGCATGTACCTCAGTTGCGATTTGTCCCTGGCCCCAGTTGGGGTCGTGTGGGTGGCAACCAGTTGATGTGTCCCTCTCACATCAATGTTTCTCTCTCTCTTCCTCCTTCTCTCCCTCCCGCTCTATCTGAAGATAAATGCAAAAATGTCCTTGGGTGAGGATGAAGAAATAAATAAATAAATAAATAAATAGACATAAAAATACAATGTAGTAACAATATCACCTACTGCTACCATGACCACCACTGGACAAGTTCCAGACACTCTGCAAAGGCCCAAATAAAATGAATAACTTGGCCAAAGTAGCACAGCTGTTCACTGACTGGGCGAAGATTGAAACCCCAATCTGTGTACCTGCAAAGCCATCCACTCTGCTGTAGCCACTTTTCAGTCTGTTAGCCTCTACCAGTATCTATCACAGTGGTCAGTGTTCATGAAGTCAAGGTCTCTTCTTAACACTAAGGGTTTATTATAATTGTATAACCCTAGTAACATTATTTCACTGTGTGATTGTCGCTGCTTCACAGGAAGCATGAAGTGGCACCTCTTCTACACATGTCTCCCGGGAGCCCCCATCTACAAAGCCACCTTCGTGAAGGTGGGAAGACACATCTCCTACCTCTTTTTCTTCAGCTCTGATTCTTGAGTTTTCCGTGTCTTTTTCAGAGAAAAGCACCTGGAAGGACAGAAGATAGCATGGCGGGGGTCCGAGCAGAGAAAACCTCACTCGGAATCAGGGGAAAGAGGGAGTTTGCTAACGACCCCTCAGAGGCACCCAGGTAACCTTCACCTCCTTGTAGAATCATGAAAAGCTCTGGTTGTCTTCAGAGGAGCCTGCATTGGTTCATCCCCTCGTGTATTCAACTTTGATGCCTCGTTTATGCCCTGGTGGGGATGATGCAACTTCTCCAGTAGGTATGGTTCTTCCTGCTCTGTCTTAATTACCAGGCCACCGGCTTTCCACAGGGCCTGACCAGTCCTCACCCAGAGGAGTGTCGAGCTCCGAGGAGCAGCTGGTGTGGTGGAATTTGGAGAGGGGAGGGGCCTGTGCTGATAGACCTGAAACTGCTCCCTGGTTCCTGGCCCATGGGTCAAGAGGAGCAGTTTTCGGGGCGATTCCAGAAGGCTCACCCCAGAAAAGAGACTGTGCCCGAAAGGCCGACCCCTCCCCCCCCGCACCCACCTTCCGCAGCTGGGCGGCGGTGGCTCCGCGGGCCCCCGGCAGGAGCATGCCGATGGCCGCGGAGATGCTCGCTGGGGAGAAGACGATGTTGCCCTTGTTGACTTGATTCAGCTCTTTGAAAAGCTCGAACCCAAACTGAGTGGTCGCTGCGCCCAGCAACTCCATGATGACTCTGGAGGGATGGAGAACAGCAACAGCCATCAAACCCGGTACAGAATAAAACGGAATGCCAACTGTAATTGAACATTACAGTTTACCCAAAGAGAAAACAAAAGCCAAATGAGTGCTTTTCGCTGGTTTGAATGGCGTTAGGGCAGGGGAACCCCTCTGCTCTCTCCCTGCTTGGATCCAGGGGGGCTCGGGAAACAGTCCCCTGAGCAGGGTGCAGCCGGGATCGAGACAGGCCTGCAGCCCGGCGGCGGAGTCTCGGGGAGGCTGCAGGCGCACCTGCTCCGACGCTAATGGCCACACCCCCTTTTGGAGGTGATACGTTTATGGCCTTGATCACGGCGATAACTTCAAGGGTGCACACTTACCTCCAAACTCATTACGTTGTGTATATTAAATATGTAAGATCTGTGTGTGTCACTAAAGTGTTTCCTTAAAAAAAAAAAGAGAGAGGGATTTTCACCCTCTGGGTCAAAGGTCCCTGCCGCCTGATTCTCACCCCTTCACTTGGGCTTCCCTTGACCGAGATGACCCCGGCCTGCCCCACCCAGTGCTTCTCGGTTGGCATTTCCCGGGGAGCAAGGCTGCCTTGCGCGCTTTGATGCGCTCATTTTCTGCCTGTGCCTGCCTGCCCCCCGCCTCCCCCCAGGAAAGCGCCCCAGGCGGGCCCAGTCCTTGCCCCCCTGTCGGGCTTGTCCCGTTGCTGGACCCATGACCAGGCAAGGCGGAGGCGGAGGAAGCCCCCGGGCCTCAGGTCCGAGCAGTCTTCTGGGTCCAGCCTTAACAGTAAAGCCAAGAGTGCATCCTTCTCTGACGCTTTCTTTCGCAATGGATTCAAAATCCTGGGCAGAGACGGTGGGTTAGACGGTCCCTAACTCATGAAAATTTGACTCCGGGCTCAATTTTTCCTCAAGGGCAATGACGGATCTCTAGCCATGGAGTATAAGTGGGCGTGAAAAGCTCTCCTTCTGTATCATTTTCTTTTTCTATTAAATAATTTATTTTTGTTACAGATGTTTCTACTTTTTCCCCCACTGACACCCTCCTCCCCACCCCACCCCCATGGCATTGTTGTCTATGTCCACTGGTTATGCATATATGCATATAAGTTCTTTGGTTTATCTCTTCCCTCTCCCCCACTCCTTCCTCTGAGGTTTGTCGGTCTCTTTCTTAATTTTAATTTTCTATATTGTCTCAAGTTTATACAGTAAGTTCATATTACTTGTATCTCATCAAACAAAATTTTAAGAGCAATTAATATTTACCAAAAATAAACAAATAAAATACATTTTCTATTTCCTTCCTCTCCAGCTAGTTATGTTATAATTAGTTCACAAAGGCTTGAAGAAAAAAAATTCTAAAACAAGAATGAGATTAAGGCAGAATACATTTTTTTTGACAACCCGCCCACACACTTTCGGGGGTCAAGATTGAGGCCCTGCCCCTGCCTGCTAAGGTACCCGACATCTGCTGTGAAAACTTCCATCTCACGCCCGGGTTTCCTTGTGGGGGTTCCTTGCAGGTTAACCCAGAAATACAATGAATTAACTCACTGTCACAACGTGAAGAAGGTACAGTCTCATGGCTATGTAGGCAGTGAATTAAATACCACCACCCCAAGGAAAGTTATACACAATAAAAGTTCTTCTTTCAAATCAACAAACATTCTCAACACACAAAAAGTCTTCAGATGCAGCTGAAGAAAGAACTTACCCGGCTTTTGGGGAGACAGAGGTGGCTGAGCATGGACCTGGGAAGCACGTGTAACGTGAGCAAGTGAGATCTTTAATTTATATCTCTCGCTCTCTCTGCCTCTCCCTAGTCATTACCATTTTTGTGTTTCCAGTGAAACAACATTTGGTTTCTCAATGATGATTTATTTCCCTCATAAAATTAGCATGCAAGGTTTATGACAAAATTGAGGATTAAAGTTCCTATTTCTTTCCTGCTTGGCTGTGAAATTATGCACTTGAAGTTGTCAACAGTTGCTGAAATATTGCTGAAATACGATACACATTAGACAGAGAGAAAGAGTGTTGCAATTTCTCACTTCTCCAAAATCCCTTCGATATTCCTTTGGTGGTCCAAATATAAAGAGATCTAACTTACCCAGGAAACAAAATAAGACCAACAGCAGGGGCTCAACCCAGGGCCAAGGGCAGCATTAGAACAGCCAAGTTCGATGAATTACGACCCAAGCGTAAGAGGGCCTTTAAACCTAATATCGGAGATCTCGGAGAAGAATTGGTTCTCTATTGGGTGCACATTAAAATCTCCTGGGAACTTAAAAAAAAAAATCTGTGCCCAAGCCCCACGCAACTGAGTCAGCATTGCGGGGGTGGGAACCAGGCATCAGAATTTTTATCACCCTAGGTGACTTAATGTGCACTGAGGTTGGGAACCACTGGTTTATGGCCACAGGAGGCTCTGAATTAATGCATACTTTATTTACCACAGACATACAGAGCTATGTCCTGACAAGTCCAGTCTCTGCAATTAAGTTAACTTTGTGGTTGCTTTAGATGGGGGATGCCAAATGCAAAGAAGAAAATGAAAAAAATAAAATAAAACTATCTTGCTAGAAAAGTAGTGAGAAAAAGTCATGAGAAAAGTTTGGGCAGGCAGCTAAACACACACACACACACACACACACACACACACACACCAGCTCTTGTTCTCAAGTATTCTGTTCATTTAATTATAAAATCTCTCCTTTTATTTTCATTCAGTAAACATTTATTGAGAGTCTGCTGTGTACCAGACATTAGGCTAAGCGTCAATAATTTATAAACATCTGACAGGCTCCTTGATTTCAGGAAAACAACACTGCTGTAAAAACCTCAACAGGAAGTTCCACCTCCAAATTCCAGTTTTTCCTGCCAACCCTGGACTACCCTTACTGGCTCTCCTAGCTCATTAAAGGAAGCAGCGCTTGGACGTGGACGTGGAGATTCGTCACGTTACTAAGCAGCAGGTGCCAGAAGGACACTCTTCCCTCGCAGGTGAATGTCTGCCTGGAAGCAGCTCAGCTCCATGATGTGACTTCTAAGGGCTGGCTGATGTTTGCACGAATCTCGATACTAGGTTTGCTTTCTTTAAATATATATGTTGATTACAGCTCTTTCAACAAACTCAAAGCAGTGTATAATTAACTTTGCTTTCTGCCTCTGAGAAATATGCAAACTGAGGACGGTTTGGAAAGAATTAGCACTTAGTTATGGAGTTAACCCTAGATGTCAATGAAATGAGGAAAACAAACAAAACCTCATAGACCTGCATCACCAAAGGGAAGGGAGTTGGGGGATACTAAAGGGTAGAAAAGGGTAAAGGAGGTCAAATATGTGGTGACAGAAGAAAATTTGACTTTGGGTGGTAAACACACAATGCAATCAGTACACAGATGACGTATCATAGAATTGTATACCTGAAACATATATAATTTTATGAACCAACAGCCCTCCCAATAAATAATTTTTTTTTTAAATGGTACGGAATCCTTGAGTCAGCAATAATGCTCTATGTTTTAATATTCCTATCAGTGTGTCTTCTAATTCCTTCCCCTAGAAACCTAGACTCTCTGTCCCATTGCCCAGCTATTTCCATCTGCCCTCTACTTCTTCCTCTACCGTGTGACTTTCTCATCGATGCCTGGCCTTCCCCTGAGACCACCACACTCCACAAAGTTTTCACTGGGAACAGCCCCTCAAATCTCGAGGTCAGGAAGCACGGTGTCCATTTGTCATCCCTCTCCTGCTCTTGCTTCTTCCTTCAATCACTTCCAATGTCCCCTTTTCAGATTTATAGCATCTTGCTGCCCCACCCTTTCTCCTACCGTAGCTCCCACCCCAGTGCTCCGAACATGGTCTTTCAGTCGCACTAAACACTACCACCCCTCTGGGTGTCTTCACAATCCAGGTTGGTGGCATCTCTCATTTCCCTGACCCTCACCTCCCCCCCACCCCAGAAGCCCAAGTACATGGCCACTCTTTGGGTGTTGCCATCACCAGGAAGTGTTTCTGCTGTAATTACTGGACACCAAAATTTCTCCTGGTTACAGGTCCCATCTGGTTACAGGTCCCATCTGTCTGGTTACGGATGCCCATTCTTGGTCTTTCTAAACCCAGCTTTCAATGTCATCACAACCTCCAATCATTGGACCTCTCATCCTTCTTTTATTTTATTAGTCCCTTTCAGGATCAAAACTGTCCCAAAGGTAGACAATATGTTAATGATTAGGAACTATAAAAATGGTTTATATGTTTATATGTGAGGACAGAACATAATTAAGCCCTGAATCAGAGTACTAATGAGCTTCCCACCCCATCCCACCTCTGTGTGTCTGTAACTGGTACTGGCTTGTAGCATTTTTGTCTCCAAACCTATAATGTTCTAGTGGATGCTGCTGGGGTCCCACCCAGATTCCCTTAATCAGCCAGTGTCTTGATTACCCAGTGACTGGTTTGACTGATAAATCACAGCTGCCCTTCTGTCTGTGGAATGACTCTCGGCTAAACGGGCACCACCTGCCGGGGAAGTACACAGCTCCCCACTCCCATGGGGCACACCTCAGGAATGACTCACTGGCAGAAGGATAGTAAAGGACGGGACAGTCCCCTTGCATCAAAATAGGACTCATTTTGTAAATGCAATTTATTACTCAGAGCTTCCCCCATGTAATCAGACCGAAGCCAGGCGCTAGTCCAGGCCATGTGACTGGTTAACATGTTTCCCTTACCTGGTCCTGCTTCTCCCAAAGATACACTCCCCTCAGCTCACCCCCACCACCAAGTGCCTGAACACGAATCCTCGTCTTTGGTTCTGCTTCTAGGGTAGCTGACCTGAGACAAACGGTTCCATATCTAGCCCAAACCCTTTCCCTCTTTCTGTTCTCCAAAAGTTCTTTGGCAATTCTTGCATATATCTCTCTCCTTTAGAAACATTTTTTAATCAGTGTATCAAGACCTATGAGACATCCTCTGGGGATTTCAATTGGGACT